TTTCTTGTGAAAGAAACATTTCTTATTCAACGGTGATTAAAATTATTTATATTAACGAAGTTTTCGCAGAAAAATAAGTTATTAGAAATCGGCCGCTGTTTGCTGAGCTGTTCCGCGATGAAAACAAGCTTTAGCAATGGTGATGTCGAATGGTGCACACTCGGTAAGTAATCCTACAATTTTTTGTTTATAGCGTAGTTTATACAGATTATTTCCAAAAAAATATATACGTATTTTGGAAATGTTGAGTTGGATTAGTCTAGAATCGATTAATTTTATGGAAGAAAACCTTTCAATCAGCCGTAGTCCGTAAACTTCACACGTCGGGCTGTGATTGGAAGGACTTGTAAGAAATCGGATTCCTAAAGAATGGAACGTATCTATGATCTTATGGGGGGGTCGACTGTATAATGGAAAATCTCAATTTTTGGAGTGGTCCAAACTTGTTTTCCCTGTAGTGTTCCAAACTTTCTCAAAGATTGATTTATAATCAAATATGTTAACCTTTTCAGAAAATTTTAATATAGGACATGCCACATTTCAGTTTTCAGTAACCGAATTTCAACATACCATTGCACCAATTTTTCCTGCGATGTGTAATGTAGTATTTTCTGGATATTTAAACATTCAATACTTTTTTCTAATTTTCTTTTAACTTAGGTTATAAAGGAATTACAATAATTGTGTTTTAAATTACTGCTAGAATAATTTGCACCTACTTTCAATTTTTGCCAGTTATATCCTTTCCAATTGCATTATAACAATTTTACAGAAATATTTTGGTAGCTAAAGATTTCAATAGTACTCATAGTAATAATAAATAAAAAATTATTTAATCTGCTATTATAACTATGTGAAAGTAAAATCAATAGTTGTTTCCAATTATGATTACTCTTTTATAAAAGCAGCAGTGTATTGTTAAAATTAACTTGCATGAAAGCCATAGAAACTGTTAGAATGGCAAGCTGATTGCATTTAAATGCAAGTGAGCTTGAAAAATAGGCAGACTAATGTATTCTAATGAATGCAATCTCACCACTATAATCCCATTGTAGACTTAGTGCCTGGTGTGCAGCAGTCCTGGTTCAAGACATTCCTAATTAAATGCTTGGTTTGAGTTATGAAATGTCAAAGGAACAAAACACTACATTGGAAAAGTAATATTGAGTTGAGGATCCAAGTGTTAATGCTTGCCTTATTTATATGGATTTATAGTATTGCATGATCAAATGTGTACAAAATGACCCTGATAGCAAGGAATAAACTTGGACAGTACAAATGTCTAGCAAAGTAGTTTTGATAGGCATACACAATATATTAACACTATTTTTTGATTGCTAATTTGTAAAGGGCACAAAAGTAGGGCTCCTATGCAGATATGAGATACTCTAGTGGCAGTGTTGACCTGAATAAAAACATTACATAGCATCTGATTTAAAAATTTGTGAAAATCAATTTTTAATATAAAGTTTATTACCATTAACATTGCAGTGAAACATTACAGTTATTTAAATTAAATGTTAACAAGCAGTTTAATGAATAAAAAAAATCAAATGCTTTGGAGATTGCTCATTTTCCTTTAGTCGAAGATAATCCAGCACGCATTATTTCGTCCACCAGGAGAAGGTTTCCGGCTATCACAGAACTAGAAAATAAGATATGAATTCAAAAGAAGAGCCAAAATTACAGAAATGTTTACTATGAAAAATTTTCTGCAGAAAACTTTAGTTACCAAAATGGTTATTTTTGAAAGTTGTTACTATATTAATATTTATTTAATTTCCTCTTATGCAAAAGCTTCTATTTTAGATGATTGTATATCAAAGTAATTGATGATGTAATCAAGATGTAATAAAGAAAATAATATTTTCTTTATTACATCTTGATTACATCATCAATTACTTTTGCAATAAAGAAAATATTATTTTCTTTATTACATCAAAATTGTATTTTCAGTGCATCACTGATTTACTTTTGCTTTTGAATTAGAGATATTCCACCAAAAAGTAACTGATGTGTTTGCTTCTAGGTAAAAATTGTTCCATAATTGCAGATAATTATAAAGACTGACTGACAGACTTATTGTTATATTGAAAATTACTATTATTCATCGAAAAGGGTCATAATTTCACTCAAAAGTTATTAAAAATATTTGTCTAATCTATGAGTATATGTAGAAATTTGTTAATCTGATATCCTCTGGAAAGTAGATAATGTTAGCATGACACATGCCTAAAGACAATACAGTGGGTGATTGTTCACTATGTTCGTTAACCAAAGTCTTGGAACAGATTATATGAATTGCTTGTTAACCTATTATTGATTTACCATAGGTTTTTATGGGAATTTCATTAATTTGTTCTGGAGACTCCAAAAAATAGAACATAAATATAAACGTAGTAAAAATGCAAGACTGCCTGTATGTGTCATGTTTTTTCCATTTGGACAGATTCTTTAATTAACCCCCACAATGTCCATTGCTTTTTTCTTCAGGATTTTTTGGAAGTAATTAATAGTATTCCGACATCCTCTCACTTCTTCAAACAATCTTTAGTAGCAGATGTCGACATTGTTCTTCTTTTGTCTTCCTCTTTTTTCAAAAGAAAACATATCTCACTGAGTTTCTTGGTATTCTTCATTTGAGAGTTCTTCTGTTGTAGGATCAATTTCAGGTTCCATTATGAGCTCTAAAATGCTCTTTATTTCTCAGATGTGATTTTCATTACTCCATTAGCAGCTTGAGACTTCTTGATATATCTTCCATAGCTAAGATTGTGCTTACTGTAGACCTGTTCAAACCATACTGCCTAGCAACATCAGACATCTTGTGCCCACTTTTACCTTGAGTATTATCTCTTACTTGGTTTCTATGGTGAGCACAGTTCTTGACACTTTTCTTTTTTAAATAAAAAGTTCAGAAAAGGACTTACAAAAATTCAGAGAACAGAAATCAACTGAATTCAATGATTCAGTTGATTTCTGGATGAAATTCAAAATTTGATATTAAAACATGAACGAATATTCGATGGGACAGTTAAACCTTCACCTTTCATAAATAAACCCTGATGCAAAACTTAACAAGTGCCCATCCGACAGTTTCACAAAGATTAAAAATTATTTGTCAGAAAGGAGAACAAAAAGCTGGAATTACAAGGGAGAGTTTCAAAATTTGGAGGAATACTATCTGATTGGTATCGAATTGAGCGTTGATGTTAACGTGTCCTGTGCTCCAAAAGGTTTCAAATTGTTACCTGAAGACAAGGGAAAATCAATTGGTATTCGTTATTTTCTATTGCTTCTTTTTATGTTTGTTCAGTAAAATGTTTGTTGTCCAATCATAAAAATCTTTTGCGAAAGTGTTTGTTATCTGATTTGTTCGCTATCCAAACTGTTAACCGATCACCCACTGTACTATCATGTCATATGTTGAAAGACAATACTAAACACAAAAAGGTGTGGCTGTGCATATTGCATTGTGTTAAGAGGTTGACCACAGAAGAGAGATGTCATCAATCCAAGACAAACATGATGAATCATTTTTCTTCAACATTTTTCTTTAGTGCTTTTCTCTGCCTAATATGTGTTTATGCTACAACTGCCAAACCAATTAGTGCAAACATGATGATTATGGGTTTTAACATAAATTTAATAGTTGCTATGTCTATACAGTAGCATTTATAAGAGGAGCTTCCTTTCACAGCAACTCCAGTTGCTTCTCTGGCAGTCATTCATTCAATTATCAGCAGACTGATTGAGGACAAGGTTTGCGTAAAAGTTGAATCAAACTTCTGGCAGCAGTATTTATGCAACACACAGTATGTAGTCTGAGCTTGCAAAAGGAAGAGAATAAAAATGGAAAGATGTCCTTTAGATGCCTTCCCATTTTTCCCACTTATAAAAGTGGTACTGATATTTTTGTTATATTTTTTTTTCCAGTTGTCTGATAAGCCAGCAGATAACTATGAATGATTTTAATGTCAAGCCATTATCTGCCAATTTAATGTCAGCCATTGTCATTTTTAGCCAAAAAAGTGTCTGCAAAAATTAACATATTACAATTTTCCCAATTTTTTACTCAATCTTAATATAGTGCTTGATTATACTGTGTTATACATGCTCTTTTAATCAGTCTGCACTAGTACAAAATGTACAGCAATGTCTGCAATATTCAGATTACACTTAATTTATAAATTTTGCAAAAATACAAAAACATCCAATAATCTTCCACTACTCTGATTCCTTAGGGGCCAGATTAACTAACTTTTACTCCCAAACTTCATGTACTGTACAATACATTTCCCTCATTTAGAATCATCAATAATGGAGTTCAATAATAATTTGATTTACCTCCTTTCTAATAGCAAAACATGGAAGACAAGACTAAATTATTCTAGTGTGTACTAAACTGGATTTGACAATTGAAATAATTTTATTAGTATGGTTGCACTCTATCATAAAATTGATAATTGCATGCAAGACAGCAGTAAACTTAAGTCATAAATATGATTTCATGTCAAAGATTTAGTTAACAATTTGATTATGAGAAATTTTTGCAGTAGATTTTGCATTTGCAAATTTATTTCTGTCATTCTCTCAAAAAACAGTGTCAGATATTAATCAAGTTGAAAAGTTTTGTTTATTAAATGTTGATGTAAAAACAATTGGTTGAATATATTTTTTATGATTTGTGATGTTTCATCACACTCTTAAATTAAATATTCATTAATAATCTGTCTTATGTTTATTTAAGAATTTTATTCATAAAATAAACAATAAGCCACACCATTTGAGAATGCATGATCTGAGAATCACATTAGTATAACTTTGATTTGGATGTGTAGATATTTGACACAGGTCAGCTTGAATTATCTTTGATTTACTTTTTAATTCAACTATATAACTAAAAGACCATTGCAAATACTTGAAAAACATAGGTTTGTTACATTGTTAACAAGACAGGTAAGGTAATCAAAAAACAGAAGAAGAATGCCTTTGGAATAATGATTGCTCAACTGTCTACTGAACTTCATTATAAGAGGTTACGTGCATGTTACATGGTGAAAAGTCCAGGCTGTAGGTCAGTTGTGGCAAAACTGTCCGAAAAAGTTAGTATTACTTATAGTAGCAACATATGGTCAAACATTACCAGTGTCAGCATCAGTATGTTCAGCAGTTAAAAAGTTATCTAGGAACAGTCAAGGTTGCTTATGTTTTCAAATGATTTAACAGCAGTGCTACTCTGCATTGTAATCACTACTGAAGGCCTTTAACAGAGTTTTCACAGTGAAAGCAACAACACTGAATTTAACAGCAAGCCACGTACAACTGTTCAATATTGGATGCTTGCATTATTCCAACTATTTTTTTATACATGTCATCTTATATAATGTCCTGGCCTTTAACTATATAGCTGATTTCTATGATTTTTAGTGTCTAGGTGATTCTCACCTTCCTAGATGTACTGCACTGGTTTCACAAGGACATTGATATTGCATTCATCATTTTGAAACAACAGTGCTTTAAGATTAGAAACAAATAGATTAAGATTAAATACTATACTAATAAAAAAGATAATAATTTTGAGTAAGAACCTTAAATAAGTCAGAAGATATAGTACGAACAGCAGTTTTGTTGTTATATCACAAATCAAGGGAAATAGACTTAAGACGAAGTTGGATAATTCAGCTATTGAAGATAATAAATAAATATGGATTTTCGATTAAACTGTTCATGGACCGTACATATATGGAGCAGTATAGTAAAGAAATAATATATAGTTATGGAATACTCTACTATTCAAGACATTGAAGATATATGAAAACTAGAAAACACAAGCTGGTATGCAATAATTCTAAATTATCCAACAAATAACNTCCATGAACGAAATGCTGCCAATTTGATATGTTCTGGATCTGAGGAATTCTTAGGTATGATGATTGGTTGATAAACTGGCTTACGGTATATATTCGTTTTGATCTTACCACCTTTGCATGTAATTGTTAAATCTAAGAAATTAACAATATTTTCACTTTCCTGGTCTAGTTCTAATGTTAGACCATACGGGTTACTGTTAATTAAGTTTAAAAAAAGTTGTGTATTTCTATTATTTTTCCACAAAACGAAGATATCATCTACATACCTCGCATATTATTATATCATTCTGGAAAGAGGGTAAGATATCACTTTCTAGCTTTCTTAGCACCAACTCACAAAGAACGGCTGACATTGGGCTACCCATTGGTACGCCCCGTCCTTGCAGATATGTTTTTCCTTCAAATTTGAAGAACGATGTATGGCAAATCAAATCAGATAATTCCAAAATGTGCTTATGGTATTTAATAGCATTTTTGATGTTAGCGAATAAAAAATCTCTCAAGGCACAAAAGCAAGGATGTAATTTAATCGATGGGTATAAGGCCTTGTAATCTAAGACAGTCAAGTAATTTTCTTTGATGAAAATGTAGGAATGATAGAATGTAGTATCTATCATTACAGCAACAAACATGTAAACTTTGTTTAATAAAATAGCACTGTACATACCTTTGTTTGTAGTAGTTGGTGGCAGAAAAGTGACAATGTACGAACCTTAATGCTTAGAAGGGGAATCCCCTCTAAAAAAGTAATGGGTAGCACTTCATCGGAAGATTCTTCGAGTTGAAGTCTCTTTCAGTAAAAAAACCCACCAGTGGCTAAGTGGTCTTCGTACCTTGAACACGGGGAGTTTGTTTGTGAGTTCACATTTCACTCAGACAGGCTGGCCACGTGGAGTTTTTCGGGATTTCTCCACGTCTGTAACATCTAAATAGGGGCCAGTTTCCCTTAAAAAACCTCCCAGAAGGCATTCCCCCTAGTCAGATCGCCCAAGATCGCGTTGCCATAACTTAAAAAAGAAACAAACTCTTTCCATAAGGAACAAGAAATTGATTTAAAGTTGATTGTCTTACTCTTAAGCAAAATCTTTCTCAAATGCGATAGCACATTGTCGTTTTCTATTGCCACTATGACTTTTTTCTTTCTTTGATGCCATATTGATTAAATATATAAATCACAAAACTGAAAAAAGAAGTATAGCACAAACACTCAGAAAAGCAATGCTTAACTCATGCATGCCTAACACCAACTAAAATTTGACACAAAATACTGTTACGTTTGTTATCCGAGACAAAATTTTTGCAAAATAAAAGTTCATTAACCGATTTGGTCGTTAACCAGGACGTTCATTAACTGGGGTTCCACTGTATTTTGTACATTAATATCTTTCACAAATAAGCCACATTTTTACAAAGATATAAAAACAAACCTTAACGATATGCGAATTGGCCAATTCTGTATCTTGCTATCCCACTTTGTGTTTACAACACTTTTTATAATTCGTAATGATGCACTATATGTTATCAATCTCCATTCCATTATTTAAATTAATACTATTTTATCAATGAATTACTATCCCGTGTCTTTTAAATATTCTTAAATATAGATCCTTTGATCTTTTTCTGTATATAAAATTGTTACATTGTTTCTTTCAATAATACGATTATTTTTTTACAATGCAGAACCCTTTTATGCTTCAATTAGTAAAATCCTGCATGTCGTCGGGTATTACCTGGCATTAGACCTCGAGTAATACGGTTTTGCCATATTTGTCCACATTTGTCTACGGTTCTCTCCATTCGTGTACAAATGTTGTCCGTTCGTACGTTTTGGACATGTATGTATCTTACAAAATTTTTGTTTTTGGGATTGATCGAAAGTTGGTACTTTCCTGTCTGTTTGTAGCAAGAGTGGCACCCATTTGTTTCACAACATTGCTTTATATAATAAAATAAATAGTATATATTTAAATTAAGTAATTTTAATTTGTTTAGTATGACATATCTCAAGAAGACATCATCCGAGGAAGACAGAATAAAAATATTACTGATATGATATATGAAATAGCTTCCGTTGCAAATCAGCATCTTCAAATGGTTAGTAAACATTAAATTTAATTTAATTTTTATTAGATATTATAATATCAAACAGTACACAAAAGCTATACAATATTTTATAAGACAATTATGAGGGTAGTCCCAGAAGTACTCGACCTAACAAAGAAGACACAAAAAATTTGGTAAAACATATCTTTGTTTTACAACATAGTCTCCTTTTAGCNCATTGTCGTTTTCTATTGCCACTATGACTTTTTTCTTTCTTTGATGCCATATTGATTAAATATATAAATCACAAAACTGAAAAAAGAAGTATAGCACAAACACTCAGAAAAGCAATGCTTAACTCATGCATGCCTAACACCAACTAAAATTTGACACAAAATACTGTTACGTTTGTTATCCGAGACAAAATTTTTGCAAAATAAAAGTTCATTAACCGATTTGGTCGTTAACCGGGGTTCCACTGTATTTTAAAAATTTCCTGACAAATTTGTTCGGGTTTAAATTTAGAGAATACTGCTCCTTATATTGGTATGTCAACTATGAAATGTTCATTTCTCAGTGTACCTTCCAATTAAGTGATTTCCACCATACATGTGTAGACAAGAGGTGGTGTGTGGTTATTTCATTTTATGATTTTCATAAAGGATTGAATGCAGCTCAGACTAAAAAGGACATCAAGAACATTTCCATTCACTTGGGGTATTTTCATAAGTGTTGTCAATGGTTTGCAAAATTTCAATCTGAAGATGTCAACTTCAAAAATATCTCATATCAATAATAATTTTAGCATGTAAACATTAGCAAAATGACAGTGATTTTGAAATGCTTTTATGAAATACAGTAGTTTGCCAATTTCTTGCAAGTATTTTCAGAGTCTTGTTAAGTACTAAGTTATTTTTATGCCTTTTACAACGATTATCGACACGAACTGTGTGCCGGAAATAGCCGTTACCTAATGGGTACTTTATGCGGATTCGCGATTAATGTGCCAGGCCTGGACTTTAAGCGTGCACCACAAGAAACAATGACAAAGTTAGTCAAAAAGCAATCCAATATTTAATAATAATTCTAATAATGACTATGTACAGAATTAGTAACAATCAAACAACAATTTATTCAAAGAAAATCAACAATAATAATTAACCCGACAAAACTCAAATCAATCTACTTGCTAGCTTAAATCTATTCCCTTTGGAACTCGACAAAAAATTCAAAGACTTAACCTATGTACAACAAGTCTTATGAACTAAGGTCCTAACCGTCACCTCAGTATACTAGGAACCTTTTTCCTCAACTCTCAAGACTCTCCAATCTTTGATCCACAAATCGAATAACTTCAAAACGCCTTGGAATAACTTTATCGCTATCAGACGCCTCTCTCATTCACTGCTACAAAGCTCACCATGCTCGTTGGTAACAGAAGCTCACCTCGTTCATCTTTGCTTGAGGTACGATCTTTATACTATGAGGTGACACACAATTCTGACCAAGACCACTCCCCTCATTTACATACTTATCTCTAACATTGAACTTTTGCTTTTTTCCTGGCAGCCTATTTTCCGACAATACTCTCTAACACTTTACATTATTCTTTCTGACAATATGTTGGGATGTTTTACTCTAAGGTTTAGCAAGTTCCTGAGTTGTGCTTGTGGGGTCTCCCCCCCTCTTCTCGGTGCAGACTTACTTTTTTCTGCTCGGGAGCACAAGTGTGCGTGAGTTTTTTTTCTATGGCGCTTCTTGTTGGTGAGTCGGTTTTTTTTTCTTTCTTTGGTTTTAAGTTTCTAAGGTGAGTGGTGAGGAAACCTTCGTCCTAACAAAACATAAGCCCCAAACAAAAATAGAATAAAAAGCAAAATAAAAAGTAACTAAAAATAACACTCGGAGTTGGTTCCTTACAGTCTCAGAAAAGGCAAAGCTTCACTTCTTCAACAAATTGGGAAGTTGGTGATTAGATGGAAGAAAGCTATAGATAATGAAGGGTATTATATTATTTTGATTTAGGTTGTATAGGAACCAAAGAGATTTAGAGCTTGTTTAAGTAATAAATCTGACACTTCATAACTGAGAAATGTTCCTTAATGCTCTTGCAAAGTATAAAAATATTTATGGTCAGAAGAAAGACTACAATGCTTCTACAGTTAACTGTCTGTAAGCTGTTAATGCTTTCTTCGTAGACTGTATATATCAACAAATAATACAACTCTAAAACCTTTACGATACAGCCAAATTATTATACCAATTCAAACGTTTTCGGACATCTTTAATGTCCTTTTTCAAGAACAAAGTACCATCGTACTAACTGCAATCGAATACTGGCTAATTTGTATAAACGATAACTGTGTTTTGGAACGCGCAATTAAAAAATTCTTACTAACTGCAATCGAATACTGGCTAATTTGTATAAACGATAACTGCGTTTTGGAACGCGTATTTAAAAAATTCTTATTGCGCAGACTCGTGCATTTGTTTACCGTTACAACTACATGCCATAAAATAAAATACAAACCACTACGATAATCAACCATATCTATATGCACATAACATATTTAAACGTGCTAACTATAATCAGACACTCGTGACCAATTTGTTCTTGAAAAAGGGCATTAAAGATGTCCGAAAACGTTTGAATTGGGATAATAAATTTGGCTGTATCGTAAAGGTTTTAGAGTTGTATTATTAGCTGTTAATGCATCTCTAACTTTGCTCTCACTGTAAAAAACATAGTTTGCCAGCATTATAGAATTAGTGAATTAAGAGATTTGAAAAGAGAATAGACTGATTATTTTAGTTTGAGAACTGTAATACAAAACTGTCCTGGAAGACTGAAACATTTACAATAAAAGTGCAGAAGTACTGTAATACAAAAATGTTTAGATTATTATGCATAATAATTAAACAACAAATGTAAGTTATATGCTATATAATTCATATTTGTTATGATGTTTTTATCATAGTGTATTACAATTATCAGTAAATTATATTACAGGCACTAAATTATAAATATAACATGTAGCTATCTTTAGGGAACTTAATTTAAAATATGGATATGTTCTAGGCTGAAAATGTTTAATCTGAAATATTAACTCTTAAATAATCAACTATTAAAAAATTTTGCATTTAAAAAATAAAGCAAGTATTAATATCATTAGGTATCAAATTAAAGTAGAAACTCCATATTTCCAGTTATTATATTCTGAAAAATTGTTGTAAATATGGAAAAGAGAAATATATTAGAAAATTAAGGTTATTGGACTGAAAAAATATATGATTAGAAAATACACACAATTTTTCTATTTGTAAATGTTTTTATTTTTAATTTCTGTTTCTTGTGGTAATTCGTATACCATGAAAGTTCATACAATTTTCATAACTCCCATAACTCAGATTATTTGCAGGAAGGATAATGTCCCTTGAAGACAAAGTTAAATTGCTAGCCTTCTTGTTAGATGACATATTAAGATGTCCAAAACAAGAAAGAATAGATTACAGTTGTCTGTTTTCTCTACCTAACCAGTGGATTCCAATAGTGAAAGAGAACAGTAAAATCACAATAACCATCCAGCAGGCAGCCAAAATGTGTAGTGAGTTTAATGTAACAGACTTTTATTTTGATGCCTGCATTTTTGATTTGTTAACAACTGGTAACAGCAGTTTCAGTCAGGCAGCAAGACATTTTTTTTTCTTTTCTTTTCACTAACTAATAAAACTAAAAATCTGTCTATAAACACTACACCAAATAAGGGTTACCAGATTTTAAAATTTGGTGCTTGTAAACAAGTTCAAAAAAATGTCAAACCTTTTTCTATTCACCAAATTGCCAAAGCAACTTGCTATCACAGTCATGGCTGATAGCAGTTCATGGATCAATAGTGTGATAAAAAAAAATAAGTTATGGTGAAGCCAAATTACTGATTCTAAGAATTTCTAAATCCCCTTAGAATTAGAATACATTAGAAAACTAACTTGGGATAATGTAAGGTCTTCAAAACTCAGGCAATGCATGGGTAATTGTTTATTTCTGAATTAGATACTGAAAACTACCATTGTCTTGATCTTCACTGAACTAAATGCATTTGATCATGTTGCAGAAAACTTTCTGCAAGGTCTCTACAGATATGTCATTTGCAAAGAATTGAATATTGGCCTGAAGTTGGATCATTGTTGTATGCATAGTAACCCCACAAAAATATTAGGGAGATTCAAATCAGGTTATCTAGGGCCATAAGTATATTTTAGGATATCATACAATCTTGGAACATGTGTTCTGTAATTTCTCTTCTGAGTGGCCACAAACTGTTGCACCATCTAAAGTAATATTCACTATTTATTGTTTTATTATAGAATGTGATGAATAGTTGTTGATGGGACAGATTTTCTATGTGTTGTATGCAAAGATAACATACCCATCAAGGAAGAACCAAGCTTGGTCTATCCAGTATTAGTTATGCAATTCCTCTGTGTAGTGTTATCAATTCCAAAAACCAGTGATATGCTAAACATTACTAAGGATCTCTTGATTGCAATTCATTGACATCATTAATTTTGTAGTAGTGCAGGTGCAATTTGCATTTCAGTGCTTTATTAGCACTCCTGGTAGATATGCTACTGTAATCAGACAATTTAGATTTCCAGGAATGTCTCAGTATCAGTCACCTGTTCTACCAGACCTCTGTGTCCTTAACACTACCAATTAATTTGAATTTATTGTACAGATGTTTTATGGGGACTTGTTCAGAGCAGTTTTTATTAATACTTGTCTGTACATTACCATGACTATGGATGTACTGTCCCAAAATGAAGGTGTGTTCTTCTAGTGTAAAAACCATTGTAACTTGAAATAGAGAATAAGCATTGAATGAATAACCTGTTTTCCCATGGTTGCACGACTTTTTGAAAATCTTGTGCGTATAATAAATATTGTGTTTTATACAACTGTACTTGCTATAAAAATATGAGAAACTATAAGATAAACCACATAAGTAGTACTAACAATTGACAACACAAATTGCCCTAAACATATTGACAAATAAAATAGTTCAATACTTATTGTAATTTTATCTGTTTCATTATTTTTTGTGAATGTGAAAAATGATTGTAAATATCAAATCACAAAATACATGAAAACCAAGCTATTACAATAAAAATTTTAATATTTATTATTTTTTTTTATTAGGTAACCATCATCATTAGAGAGCATTCTCCTTGTACTCCTGAGAAAACATATGTAGCTCAGACTGACTTCCTGCCCAGTGTATTTGTTGATGGTACAAAAAGCAGTGGGCCAGATAAAAATGTCAGAATTAAAGAAGAAGTACCAGGACGTCATGTGGAAATATACATAAGACATATATCTACTCGAATAGTTTTGCATCAGATAGGACATTATCTTACTTTTGCTATTCGTATTCCTCAAGAAGTTGCCATCCAGAATGGAAGAAGTGATTCCTTCGAATTGTGTGCTAAAGGATGTCCAAAACAAGAAAGAATAGATTACAGTCGTCTGTTTTCTCTTCCTAACCAGTGGATTCCAATAGTGACAAAAAACGGTAAAGCCACAATAACCGTCCAACAGGCAGCCAAAATGTGTAGAGAGTTTAATGTAACAGACTTTTATTTTGATGCCTGTATTTTTGATTTGTTAACAACTGGTGACAGCAGTTTCAGTCAGGCAGCAAGACAGGCCATGAAGGATGTGATTGCACTNAAATAAACTCCAAAGTTTTATTTGAAAAACATACTCCAGAATATGATATTTTCATTAGAGGGCTCGAAAACCCAAATAAGCGCTATAATTTCCTTCATAAGCAAAATGTTAGGCATCTTCCCCCGAATCACTATACAAAACTTTATTTATTTCCCCCAAACATATATATGTAGCTAAAATTAGTTTTAACTGATGTTAAAAGTTAAAACTAGTTTTATCTAAAATCAAAACATGTACAGCAGTACATTAACTAGACAAAACCAGTTTTGTCTAATTAAAACTAGAATTTACTGCTAGTCAAAAATGAATTTGAGTTAAAACTAGTTTTAACTAGACAAAACTGGTTTTAACAAAGACATCCAGTAAAAACTAGTTTCAACTTGTTAAAACGTGTTCTAACTAAAAACTGGTTTGACTGCAACATATATAGACATGGAAAACTTTGAGTTAAACCCCATGTAACCTATGGCTACTGCTAATGTCTGTAGAGGCACTGATCTTATATTCATCAGTATATTTATTTTTCTATACAGTGGAACCTTGGTATAAGACCTTAATCCGGTCCTGATGTTTGGACTTATACCAAACCAATCTTTCCCATAAGAAGTAATGCAAAAATTATTAATCTGTTCTCATCTTTAAACACCTTGCTTTCCTGGCTAGTTCCTGCTTGATTTTTCATGAGATCAGCATGTATCTTTTTAGCTTTCTCGCAAATAATTGCTTCTGATATGATGTGTCTAGCACACTGTTTTTCAGTTATCCAAAGCAAAAGCAATTTCTCAACATGATCGAATGTCTTTGATCTCTGTTTAGAAATTGATTTAAGCAACGTTAGCAAATTTAATAATGTCTTTATTTTTCACGATTGTCGATATCGTCGTTATCGGAATATGGTATGCAACAGTTAAAATCTCGAACACGCATGCCACCTTCATATTTCAACAATCTCTTTTTTCAGTTCCATTGTGATTCTAGTCATTTTTTAGTTTTCTGTTGCTTTTCATTTGCCTTTTTGCAATTCATGATTAAAAAATAATAAAATTTTACTTACAAATTAAAATCAGAAGAAATTTAACAAAGTTATAAACTGTGACATCACGAACGTCTAGTCTGGTCTAGTACACCGATAGTGCTACTTCTTCATAGATGGCGTGTATAATTGAATTAAGTCATATACCGAGCAAAATTTGTTTCGTCCAAACAGGATGTATTCCAAATTTGATGTATTCTAAAGCAGACGTATACCAAGATACCACTGTACTTTTGTTTGTAACAATACATACATACATACAACAAAATATAGACATGCTGTAGACAGGAAGGTTGATATCCTTGCAGTTGATTGCCTGTGAGATGAACTGATTTGAAAATACGTAACACTTCTGTGTATCAAATGCAGTATTGGATCCAAACATTTTGTATGATTTTTGGATTGGTCCCAGTCGAAATTGACAGAATTGAAATCTGAGAGGACATAAGCTGCCAAGGCTATGGCTGGATGTAAACTCTTGGTGTTCTTTCAATCTTACATAGAGATCTCATGGGTCTCCAATCCAACATAATGTAAATCATTACTCTAAGGTTGTTGATGGGAACAGTATAAACTCCATGGATATGCAATGAGAAGGGAGAATCTTTGTCATTACATGGGATTTTTAAAGATTTTAGGGTTCCTTTTATGAATAATTCTGTAGCTCCTAGTCCTGCTTATCTCTCAAATGATGTCTTGAAGGGGAGATGTGTAATCAATTACTGTATACTCAGCCTTTGAAGTATCCTTTGGTTTATTTCTTAGTTTCAACCAGAATCCATCAGAGATTTCATTATCTGAGGCTTAAAATCTCACCATTCACCAAGATATGATGTAATTCAACTTATGCTTTCTGTCTCATACATCCTGACAATGTGTGTGGGCTCATCTAATCAGAGCCCTAAAGGCCACCAGCTTGTAATGGAGTTGATCATGAGAGGTCCAGGGTATAAGAAGGAATGAAAAAAAGGTTTTAAGAGGGCTTCTTGTAAATGTTGGAATTCCTAAGAAAGAAAAATACATTGAAAAAATGTACATCAGTGCCACTTGTTCAAGCTTCAATGTAAGGCCGAATGGGATGGAGTTAATATAATTGACAAACAGCTGGATGTAGGACATATTCATATAATCAGCAAACTATCAATATATCTGGCATACAGACTTAGTTATACATTGCCACAGTTATTATTATGAAAAATAGTTTAAATACAATAAATACTTTTTCCACGTTAAAAGCAAGTAAAGTATTTAAAATATATCTTAAGAAATTTTATAAAAAAATTTAAAAAGTTTTTCCATTTGCATGAAAATTACAATAAAACAATAAACAAGTGTTATAAATATAATAAAGTGATTTATAACTGCTCCATAAATCACAAAATACTTTAAAAGATTTTGAAAGACTATTAAACAAAAAAAAATGCATTTGATATTAAATGGTTTGTACAGTACTTTAGATTTTACACGATTAAATTATCTTCTTATTAATTTATTAACAAAATCAACCACTCATTGGTTTCTGAATGCCAAAAACAATCATCAAATACTATGCACTGTATGGTGACATTGTGATAGGCTTTGCAGGGCCTTTCAAAATAAGTGGTGTGGCACATTATGGTGATGAGCATCCTTGCACGGCTCAGCAAATCACATACCTGCTTCAAATGGGATGTTCTGCAGCATCCTGCCTACAGTCTAGACTTGACTCTCAGTGACTGTCAGTTATTTGGGAAATTGAAGGAGTTTCTGGGAGAAAAGTGCTTTGCCAGTGCCAATGAGTTGAAATACAGTCAAGCAGTGGTTAAAGGGCTTGATGCCAGAGGTCTATGATGTCAGCATTCAAAAACTGGTTGCAAGATATGACAAGTGCTTAACAATAGTAGTGATTATGTTTAAAAATGATTAAATTGATATGTAATTACGAAAATAAAAAAATTACGTAGATTTGTTTTGTGATTATGGGCAAACAGGTATTACTTTCTGGATAACCTTTGTAGTTTTTGTATACCACTTTAAAACAAATGCAGTTGTGCACAATAATAGGCTATCATAACTTGTATTTAACAATAAATTACTCTATAGGTGTTAATATTTTCAAAATTTTTTTTCTGAAAGCATGTTTTTAATCAGTTGTTTTAATTTTGTTTGTTCCTAAGTTAAGATAACCAAAACATTTTGATTACTGAAACTTGGCAGTTGATTGTTTGATACTTAAAAAAATATATTCTTTGATACATCAAACTTTTTTCTAGATTTGCAGCTTAAAATTTTTTGATATTATTTAACAGTTATAAATTAGTTTTAATAATTATGAATAGGTTTCTTATTTATTCATCTTAGTAATTGATTTAATGATAAAACAAAAATATTTTTTGAAAGACTACTCAAATATAAAAATACAACTAATTTTATTATATAACTAAATAAAGTTCAGAAAGAATCAATGAATAAATCATCATTTAGCATATATTGATAAATTGTAATGACTTGTTTGAAAAATTTCAAACAACTTAAAAATACTTTATAAAAGCCTAGTGGAAGTAATTCTGAACTTTGTAATATTACATAATGATTTAAAATTCAGTTTTCATACTTTTTTCCCTTCAAATTTTTAAATGCATTGTATAAATTTGGAGATGTTTATATCATCATTATAAAATAATATTAGCCACCATAAAGTCCTAGTAAAATGAAAATTTGAAGCCAATGCTTTCACAGGAAAAAAAAATGTAGTTTAAAAATTAAACTACTTGAATCATTTTTTTGCTGTCTTTTTAATTTAAAAAACTAGATTTTAGCCATCTGTTTAGCTTCATATATTTACTTAATCAATCATATAATCACATCAAAACATTCATACTACTAATTTTTATAAAGTCTTGTTACAATACTTACACACAAATAAGAGAATGTTCTTATACATAAAAATTGCTTGTTTTTATTTCTGAAACACAGGTTCTGTTTCACTTATAAAAGCATACTTCACATTGCATTTGTGCAGCATTGCAACGTTACTCCTTGTGTGACATGTGCAGCAAAGCATTCACCTGTTATATTTTACAGCTTGTTTTGGATACCTCAGAATATATTTAAACTTCATAGTACATATTTTTTATGTACTACATCTTTGTAATTGACAATGTTGCCCTAGTTTCATTGGGGGCTGAGATTACACAGCCCTCTCCAATTGAAAAGCTGGAAGGAGTGGAAATTTGCATAATTGTCCAGTGCAAGCTGACAAGGTATATATTGACAAAAGGTTTACTTTCACATTTTGAAATAGTTGGCTAGAGTTTTTTTAAATAGGGTTTGAAGAAAGAGGAAGTTTTGTCACCATTCTATAACTTAAATTATATACATCTCCCACATATTTGAATGGCTCTAACAAAAAAAACTAATTTTCATGCTTAATGCACAAGACTTTTGATCAGTCAGTCAAGAACTATTTACTAAACTTTCAGCAATTTCACCAAGGGCCAAAACGCATAAGGATTGTCTAAAGTCCCCAGAGTATCACTTGGAAGAGATCTTGTTTCTTTGCATTTAAATTCAACTCTAACCTGTTAGATATACTGGTAATTAGAAGGCTATGACAGCTAAAGGATTTGTTAAATTGACATACCTAGCAATATTTTCAACAAGGGTAATGTATTAATAGATATAAATTTCAATACAGTAGTACTGATAAATCTGAGAGAGAGACTCATAACAATAAAGATAATGATTAGACCACTAGGGAGAGCAAAGACGAGGATGGTGACCAAAGCAAAAGATATCAATGAAGAACTCCAAGAAAAGTGAAAAAATGTAAATGTACTGATATAGTAACTATTTAGAAGTAAAAATTCAAAATTAAAAAGTTTCTTATACTATAAAAGTTTTTTTTTTTAAATATTCAGTTCTTTTAAGTCTTCATGAAATAGTGCCGATTTTTCTCAATCAATAAGAGCATGCTCTTATATGTGTGAAAGCA